CTCCAGGGTTCAAGCGATTCTTGTGCCTCAGCCTCCCAAGTAGCTGGGATTACAGGTACCCGCCACCACACCTGGCTCATTTTTGTGGGTTTGTTTTTATTTTTGTTTTTTGGAGATGGAGTTTCAATCTTGTTGCTCAGGCTGGAGTGCAATGGTGTGATCTCAGCTCACTGCAACCTCTGCTTCCTGGGTTCGAGTGATTATCCCGTCTCAGCCTCCCGAGTAGCTGGGATTACAGACATGTGCCACCATGCCCGGCTAATTTGGTATTTTTAGTAGAGACAAGGTTTCACCATGTTGGCCAGGCTGATCTCGAACTCCTGACCACACCTGCCTCAGCCTCCCAAAGTTCAGGATTACAAGTGTGAGCCACCGCACCCAGCCAGCCTTGCTGTTTTTAAATGCTTTTACCGTTCACAGCCTCAGCACACTGAAACACATATCCACTGAGGCAACTCACTGACTGTCAACCTGCTTTGACTTCTTGGCATCTTTGACCTCTAGTTGAAGTGCCCCAGCTCTGGGCTTCCGTAGCATCCATTGGTGAAGGTGGACAGGTGGGAAGAGGGATGGGTGGATGGAAGCACAAGGGGGTGGACAGGATGGTTGCAGGGTGGACAGGATGGGTGGGGGATGGACAGGATGTGTGGGTGTGTTTCCAAAATGCCAGGCGTTCAGTGTAGGTCCCATTGCTCACCGCACAGAAAGCGGATCTGGGATCTTGGGACAATCAGTATTGCCAGGGAAGAAGGCTTTATTCGGGTGACATCAGCCAAGGTGACAGGAGATAAGTCTCAACTCCATCTCTCCAACAAACTACAATTGGGGGCTTATATAGCGGGGAGCAAATGTAGCTGCATGCCGGAAAACAGGAATTAGAGCGGGGTAAAGGAAAGGAGTTTCAGTTCCTTGATGCTGTCTGGGAGGCCGGAGGGTCAGTTTCTTGAAGAAAGAACTCAGATAAGACAAATTTAAGTTTCAAGCTTTAAGACCAGGGGCGTTGCTGGGCGTGGTGGCTCACGCCTGTAATCCCAGCACTTTCGGAGGCCAAGGCGGGTGGATCACGAGGTCAAGAGATCAAGACCATCCTGGTCAACATGGTGAAACCCCGTCTCTACTAAAAATACAAAAAATTAGCTGGGCATCGTGTCGTACGCCTGTATCCCAGCTGCTCAGGAGGCTGAGGCAGGAGAATTGCCTGAACCCAGGAGGTGGAGGTTGCGGTGAGCCGAGATCGCGCCATGGCACTCCAGCCTGGGAAACAAGAGGGAAACCCCGTAAAAAAAAAAAAAAAAAAAAAAGACCAGGGGCGTCAATGTTTGTGTTTATCAAAAAATAACCCATCTATGGGACAATTTGGCCAGTTTCAGGTGGGCAGGAGAGCAGGTGGAAGGGGTGTGGGTGGGTGGGTGGGCCAGGAGGAGGAGGCCTTATTCGCCATTCAGGCATCAGCTGAGTGGATGGATGGGGCTGGTGGGTAACCCAGAGAGTATCTGGGAGGGGATGAATGGCTGGGAGTGAATGTGAGTCACTGGTGAATCTGGAGTACACAGGGCTTTGAATAGTCACTGGGGTACCCTGGGCAGTTGTATGGGGAGGTCTGATTAGGCTGGAAAAGTGGGTGGAGAAAAAAACTGCTGCCAAGGCCTCCCCGTGTTCGTTCTTGAGCAGATGTATTAATCCTTGGCTATTGTCTTCGGAATCCGGAAAGGGAGCTGGAATCAGAGGGGAATGGAGGGCCACGTAGTTGCAGTGCCCTCTGGTGGCTATGAGGGGAGTTGACAGTTGGTATCTACATATTTTCCTTAAGTATTTTTTCATTGTCTATTCTTCCCCGCCCCCACCCCCACCCCAAAATACAGACTCCCCAAGGACAGCGATTTTTATCTGTTTACTCGTTGTATGTCCACTGTCTACAATAGTGCCTGGCATATAGTAGATGCTCAGTTAAATATTAAATGAGTGACACAGATTTCAAACAAACTGCTCCACCACTAATATATATACATATATACATACACATATATATACGTATATATTTACATATTTTTTTTTTACTTTTTTGAGACAGGGCCTCTGTCACCCAGGCTGGAGTGCATGGTACAATCACAGCTTACTGCAGCCTTAACTGCCCAGGCTTAAGCAATCCTCACACCTCAGCCTCCTGAGTAGCTGGTACTACAGGTGTGTACTTCTACCGCTGGATAATTTTTTAAAATAGAAATGGAGTCTCATTATGTTGGTCATACTGGTCTTGAACTCCTGGGCTCAAGTGATCCTCCTGCCTCAGCCTCCCAAAGCGCTAGGATTACAGATGTGAGCCGCCATGCCCAGCCTCCACCACTTTATTGATGATTGACCCTAAGCAGCCCTCTCAACTTCAGAAAGCCTCAGTTTCCTCTTGGGTAAGTGGAGACACTAACGCCCACCCCCACGAGCATTAACTGAGGGAAGGGGACATGCACAGCCTGGATGAAGGCTTTGAGTCCCTGCCAGCTCCCGTCTCCTGCAGTAGCCAGCATTGAAGGAGCATCAGGTACTCACAATAGCACATCATTTTCATTCTGCAAACTGCTTTGATGGGCACATTTGCCACTGAGTGTGGGACATCCTGGGGAACCGATCCCAGACTGATCCCAAGCTGGCCAGGCCAAGAGGGAGTGTAGCCAGATGAGCAAGGGACTGCGAGGTGATGTATGGGAGTCCTCACCTGCCATGCACGCCCCATTTCCCCACCCCCTCGGTCACACCCAACTCTTTCAACTGCCTTTGAGCCATCAGACTCCCTCTGCCTTCAGAGGCTTTGAAGACCCTGCGTCAGTTTTCTCCAAACCCCTGGCCACAACCCACGCTCAAGTCCTCTTCAACAGCTTCTCCTAGACTGGGCTCAGTGGCTCATGCCTGTAATCCCAGCACTTTGGGAGGCCGAGGCGGGCGGATCACAAAGTCAGGAGTTCAAGACCAGCCTGGCCAACATGGTGAAACCCCATCTCTACTAAAAATACAAAAATTAGCTGGGTGTGGTGGTGGATGCCTATAATCCCAGCTACTTGGGAGGCTGAGGCAGGAGAATCGCTTAAACCCGGGAGGCGGAGGTTGCAGTGAGCCGAGCTTGCACCACTATAATCCAGCCTAGGCGACAGCTAGACTCTGTCTCGAAACGAAACGAAACGAAACGAAACAAAACAAAACAAAACAACAACAACAACAACAACAACAACAAAAACCCAGCTCCTCCTGGCCTCCCCACAGCCGGTCTGGCCCCCTCAAATGCATCCTTCTGCAGCAGACTGGATTGAAACTGCAAATAGGCTTATCTGATTTTCCAGCTTGATTTCCAGCTTGCTCCTGGGACAGAGTCCAAATCCTCCGACCTAGCATTTTGTGGTCTGGACCCAGCCCATCTCCTAGCCACCTCCTGATCGCAGCTTGAAATTTTAGAGCAAGCAACCCGAGCCGCTTCCTACCTCTGGGCCTCTGCCCATGCCGTCTCCCCTGCCTAAAAATCCATTTCCCTGCAAGGAGGGCATGTCTTGCCCTCACCTGCCCAGGATCATTTCCTGTTCTCCCGGTGATGGAGTGCCCTCCCTGGCTCTCAGATCTGCAGGTTCCTGGAGGGCTAACCCAACTCTGGGTTCATGGGGGAGCTTAAGACTCAGCCAGGCCGGTTCCTCTTGTTTTTTTAATGGAGGGCTGTGGTTGCAACGAGCATCTTCCAGTCAGCCACAGCTCACCACCTGCTTTGTCTTATTCCAGGTCCACCCATTTATTTTATCCGAATGGGTCCTGGAGGCACTAGAGTTTGCAGCTCCTGGTACCCACTCCTCGCTCTGGCTCTATCGGACCCCAACGCCTGCCTGGATCCCACGCATTTTCCCATCCAGTTCCCAGATCACCTGTGGGCCCAACTTCCCTGCCTTGATGTCCATTGGCGCCCCTGGTCCCATGGGGCTTCATTTTCCCCAGTTCAGGCATGAGAAGCTGGGGTTCACCTGGGCGTGTCCATGTTTCCCCTGGAGGAAGGATGGATACAGGCAGGGTGGAGGTGGGACTAGAGGAGACAGGGCACCGTAGGTGGCACCTCTGAGCTGTGTCCTGTGGGACTGGCCCCTTTTGTTTAGGGCATCACCAAACGCAGTGTCGAGATCAGCCCAGCATCTCTGCCCAGTGAACCTACGTCCGCTGTGCGCTCAGAGCCGGGCTGTCCATGCTGCTGTTCAGTACAAGTTGCATGCATGAAGGATGAAGGTCTTGGCCTGTCTGGGGCTTTTGCCTTTTTTTTTTTTTTTAGATGGAGTCTCCCTCTGTCACCCAGACTGGAGTCCAGTGGCGCGATCTCAGCTCACTGCAAACTCTGTCTACTGGGTTCAAACAATTCTCCTGCCTCAGTCTCCCCAGTAGCTGGGATTATAGGCACCTGCCACCATGCCTGGCTAATTCTTTTGTATTTTTAGTAGAGACAGAGTTTTGCCACGTTGGCCAAGCTGGTCTCGAACTCCTGACCACAGGTGATCCTCCCACCTCAACCTCCCAAAGTGCTAGGATTACAGGCATGAGCCATCTTGCCAGCTGCCTGCCTTTCTTTCTTTCTCTCTCTCTTTCTTCCTTCCTTTCTTTCTTTCCTTCTCTTTCTTTTCTTCCTTCCTTCCTACCTTCCTGCCTTCTTGCATTCCTCTCTCTTTCTTTCCTTTCTTTCTTTCTTTTTTGGAGACAAGTCTCCCTCTGTCCCCCAGGCTGGAGTGCACGATCAGCTCACTGCAACCCCCACCTCCTGGGTTCAAGTGATTCTCATCCCTCAGCTCCTGAGTAGCTGGGATTACAGGTGCCGCCACCACACCCGGCTAATTTTTGTATTTTTAGTAGAGACAGGGTTTCACCATCCGCCCACCTCAGCCTCCCAAAGCACTGGGATTATAGGCGTGAGCCACTGAGACCAGCCATCCCAGGTAACTTCTGACATTTGCTGACCCCTCACTATGTGCTCATTATCACTTCAAAACCCCATGCAGTTGATCCTTTATTAGACCCATTTTGCAGGTTAGGAAACTGAGGTGAGCAGAGGTGAAGGCCCTGCCAGGTCACAGGAGCAGCAGGTGGCAGAGCTGGAGTTGGGCTCAAGCTAGTGCCAAGTGTGCCCCGTTGGCCACTGTCCTTAAAAATGTGTGACCCAGAGGGTCCCAAAGAGCCACATTAACCCGTGGCTGGTGTCATCCTCTTCGGGTTTAGGATCAGCGGGTTTTGGGCACTGGAGCCACCTCTTCGGCAAACAGCTTGAGGGAGAAATCGAGGGCGGGGGCCGCCTGGGTCAGCATCCCCATGGAGATGACGTCTATGTGCGGCCCGCAGAACTGGGGGAGGTTGTCCAGGTTGATGCCCCCGCTGGCTTCCACGGCCACACTCGGGAACTGGGTCTTCAGCGCAGCAGCCGTGGGGTGCAGCTCCTGCGGGACACAAGCTAAGGGGAGGTGAGAGCCCACCACAGGCCCCCTCCCCAGAGGCAGAGCCCACCTCACCTCCGGCTTGAAGTTGTCCAGCAGGACGAGGTCAGCGCCCACCTCGGCTGCCTGCACGGCCTCCTGCAGGCTGCTGCATTCCACCTCCACCTTCAGGGCGAAGTCGGCCGCCTGCCGGGCCGCCCGCACTGCCTGCCAGGCAGCCAGGAGGAGGAAAGTGAGGACTGGGCCCAGAGCCTGGCACTGGGGCTCAGGAAGCTGGGAGGGCGAGGGTGAGGGTGGGGTCCAGGGCTGGCACTGGGCATGGGGAGCTGGGATTGGCATTTGAAAGGCCCTGGATGGACCATGAGCTTGGGGTTAATAAGGACACCAGACATTAGGGCTTTTTTGTTTTGTTTTGTTTTTGAGACAGGGTCTCGCTCTGTCACCCAGGCTGGAGTGCAGTGGTGCAATCATAGCTCACTGCAGCCTCCGCCTCCTGGGAGCAAGTGATCCTCCCACCTTCGCCTCCCAAGTAGCTGGGACTACAGGTGCTTGCCCACAAGCATGGCTAATTTTTTCATTTTTTGTAGAGACTGGATCTTGCTATGTGGCCCAGACAGGTCTCAAACTCCCGGCCTCAAATAATCCCCCTACCTGGGCCTCCCAAATTGCTGGATTACAGGCATGAGCCACCGTGCCCAGCTGGGATGTTTTGTTTTATTGTAGTTTAAAATGACCACTTTTGTGGGTCAGAAAGTGGCTAAATATCAGCAATGCATTTGGACCTGAGTTCAGTTTGACTCCGAATATTAAAGTTAGAAGAGGTCTTCAAGGAAATTTCACAGATGGGAAATTAGGTGCAGAGGGTTAGAGGGATGGGCTCGAGGCTGTGGTGCCAGCGACACTGGCTTCCCCCGGGCTGTCCTTTGCTCTTGAACATCACACCACACAGCAGCAGAACAAAGATAAAGAAGCAACCCCAGAGCCAGCCTCGGTGGCTCACGCCTGTAATCCCAGCACTTTGGGAGGCCAAGGTGGGAGGGTTGCTTGAGTCCAGGAGTTTGAGACCAGCCTGAGCAACATAGTGAGAGCCCCTCTCTAAAATTCATAAATAAATAAACAAACGGCTGAGCAAACTGGCTCACGCCTGTAATCCTAGCACTTTGAGAGGCTGAGGCAGGTGAATCACCTGAGATTAGGAGTTCGAGACCAGTCTGGCCAACATGGCAAAACTCTATCTCTACTAAAAAATACAAAAATTAGCCGGACATGGTGGCAGGTGCCCGTAATCCCAGCTACTTGGGAGACTGAGGCAGGAGAATTGCTTGAATCCAGGGGTCAGAGGTTGCATCGAGCCGAGATCAAGTCACTTCACTCCAGCCTGTGCAAAACAGTGAGAATCCGTCTCAAAAAAAAAAAAAAAGAAAGAAAGAAAGAAAGAAAAGAAAAGAAAAATTGGCCAGTGAGGTGGAGCATGCCCATAGATCCAGCTACTCGAGAGACTGAGGCGATGTCTCCAGAAAAACAAAGCAAGCCCAGCTCCCCTTTAATTTAGCTTAACTGGATGAGCTCTACTGAGCCCAGCTTAGATGGAGGAGCCGAGGTGGGAAGAGTCTTGCATTGCTGACTCTAGGCCATGGCTGTTCACCAGGTCCTGGCTGGGGGCTCTGGGGAGGGGAGGGGTGTGTTGAGGGCGAGGTTGGACCACGGACAGGCAGGACTGGCACCTTCTCCACGCCACCAGCGGCCACCACATGGTTGTCCTTCACCATCACCAGCCCTCCCAGGTCGTAGCGGTGCGAGGCGGCCCCGCCCACCAGCAGCCCATACTTCTCCACCAGCCGGAAGCCTGGTGTGGTCTTCCTCGTGCCCGCCACGTGCCCGGTCCAGCCGGCCCCCCTGGCGGCCTCTACCGCAGCAGCCGCAGCACTGGCAATGCCACTGCAGCGGGCCAGCATGTTGAGGGCCACCCGTTCCCCCAGCAGCAGGCAGTGGGCAGGGCCCCGGACCTCAGCCACCCTGGCCACCGGCACCAGCTTCGATCCCTCAGGGAGGAACCAGGAGACTTGGCAGTTGAGTTGGGTAAAGATGGCGTCAAAGAAAGGCCGCCCTGCCAGTACCCCAGGGGATTTGGCCCACAGCACCGCCTGCGAGGGGCCTGCTCCGCTGACCAAGGCTGCGTAGTTGAGCCCTGGGCAGTCCTCTCGGAGCCAGCTGTCCACCAGGGCTGCCAGGGTGACGGGCGGCAGCAGCAGCGCCAGGCCTGGGGGGGAAAGAGAACAGCTGTTGGGTTTGGCTGCCTCTCCTGCTGTCAGTGGTCATTGTCAAAATATTTAACAACCAGTGAAACTGGGCACTGGACCATCAGCGTCAAGATCTCAAGATCGAGGAGCCCCAGGGGAGAGGCTGCGTGAGGAAAGGGGGTGTGGGGGGAAAGGGATTTGTGGGGGCGAGGGTGGGAGAGTGCTGTGGGCTGGACGAGGTCACTGAGCACCTAGCATAATTTAAACCTCTGGCTGGGCACGGTGACTCACTGTAATCCCAGCACTTTGGGAGGCAGGCAGATCACTTGAGGTCAGGAGTTCAAGACCAGCCTGGCCAACATGGTCTCTACTAAAAATACAAAAATTAGCCAGGCGTGGTGGCGGGCACCTGTAATCCCAGCTACTCAGGGGGCTGAGGCAAGAGAGTTGCTTGAACCTGGGAGGTGGAGGTTGCAGTGAGCTGAGGTCACACCACTGCATTCCAGCCTGGGTGACAAAGCAAGACTCCATCTAAAAATATATAAATAAATAAATAATAAATAAAATGAGGATGATGGGGCTGGGCATAGTGGCTCATGCCTGTAATCCCAGCACTTTGGGAGACTGAGGTGGGTGGATCACCTGAGGTCAGGAGTTCAAGACCAGCCTGGCCAACATGGTGAAACCCCGAAAAAATATTAGCCAGGTGTGGTGGTGCTTGCCTGTAACCCCAGCCACTTGGGAGGTTGAGGCAGGAGAATCGCTTGAACCCAGGAGATGGAGGTTGAAGTCAGCCGAGATCGCGCCACTGCACTCCAGCCTGGGCGACAGAGCAAAACTTTGTCTCAAAAAAAAATAATAATAATAATAAGGATGATGGGGAGGTGGGGAAGGTTAATGGTTACAAAAAAATAGAATGAATAAGACCTGCTATTTGCTAGCACAGCGGGGTGACGATAGTCAATAAAAACTGTACACTTCAAAATAAATAAAATAATGCAATTGGATTGTAACACAAAGGATAAATGCTTGAGGGGATGGACACCCCATTCTCCGTGATGTAATTTTTCTTTTTTCTTTTCTTGAGACGGAGTCTCACTCTTGTTGCCCAGGCTGGAGTACAGTGCCGCGATCTCGGCTTACTTCAACCTCCGCCTTCCGGATTCAAGCGATTCTCCTGCCTCAGCCTTCGTAGTGGCTGGGGTTAAGGCACCCGCCACCATGCCCGGCTAATTTTGTATTTTTAGTAGAGACAGGGTTTCTCCATGTTGGCCAGGCTGGTCCCGAACTCCTGATCTCAAGTAATCCGCCCACCTCGGCCTCCCAAAGTGTTGGGATAAGAAGCGTGAGCCACCGCGCCCGGCTACAAACATTTTTTAAAAAATAAGGATGGTGGACAAGGTGAAGGTCGCTCGCGCCCTGAGCTGAGCCGGTGATGGGCCCTGCCCGGCTGCCGGCAGAGGCAAACCCAGGCGTGTTGCGACAGCGCCATCTGTCGGCGGGGAGAAGACCTGCAGTCTCATGGGCACCCGCCATCCGTGGTCTTAGCTTCCCCTTGAGGGGGACACAAAGCCCGCGAGGGTGTTTGATTTAGCGCACACACATGTACACGCACACGCATGTGCACACGCACACAGCACACTTGTGCTCCAAGTGCAAGTGAAGGCGAGACATCCTGGCTTGCTCAGCTCTCAGAAACAGGCCCTCTGCTGTCTCCTTCCCCAAGCCAAGCTGCTCAGTCTCCACCCACTCACCACCGCACTTCCCCTCCGAGCCACGGGCCTCGGGGACTGCACCGGGCTGTCCTTCCCCGCCTTCCCTCCCACTTCTGCCCCAGATGGTTCCTGTCCCTCCACTAAGAGCCAGCTGTACCGCGGCTGGGCGCTGTCTCCGCTGGTCACATCCAGCTACGGAAAAGGCCTGGGAGCAAATGGGGAGGCAGAGCTTAACCCCCCGCCCCCACTGAATTCAAACTAGGTGCAGTGCGGTGGCGGCGAGCACTGCAGCCTCAGCTGCCCAGGCTTAAGCAATCCTCTCGCCTCAGCTTCCCAAGGAGCTGGGACTACAGGTGCACACCGCCATGCCCGGCTAATTTTTGTACATTTTTTGTTGTAGAGTCGGGGGGGAGGGGTCTCACTATATTCCCCTGGCTGGTCTTGAACTCCCAGGCTCAAGCAATTCTTGTACCTTCACTTCCCAAAGTCCTGGGATTACAGGAGTGAGCCGCTGAGCCACTGTGCCCAGCCTGATTTTTTTTTTTTTTTTTTTTTTTTTTTTTTGGTGTTTTTTTCTTTTTTTTTTTTTTTTTTTTTTTTTTTTTTGAGGCAGAGTTTCACTCTTTTGCCCAGTCTGGAGTGCAGTGGTGCACTGGACTCACTGCAACCTCCATCCAGTGAGGTTCAAGTGATTCTCCTGCCTCAGCCTCCCTAGTAGATGGGATTACAGGCACCAGCCACTATGCCTGGCTAATTTTTGTATTTTTAGTAGAGACAGGGTTTCACCATGTTGGCCAAACCAGTCTTGAACTCCTGACTTCAGGCAATCTGTCCACCTTGGCCTCCCAAGGTGCTGGGATTACAGGTGCCAGCCACGACACCCAGCCACTTTGCTAAAGAAGCTATACATACAGCCAAGAATCACCTCGAAAAAAAGCTCAACATCACTGATCAATAGAGAAATGCAAATCAAAACCACAGTGAGATACCATCTCATGCCAGTCAGGATGACTATTATTATTATTTTTTTTTTTGGAGATGGAGACTTGCTCTGTTGCCCAGGCTGGAGTGCAGTGGCACGATCTTGGCTCATTGCAACCTCCACCTCCTGGGTTCAAGCAATTCTCCTGCCTCAGCCTCCCGAGTAGCTGGGACTACAGGCGTGTGCCACCACACCCAGCTTATTTTTTTGTATTTTTAGTAGAGACAAGGTTTCACCGTGTTAGCCAGGATGGTTTAGATCTCCTGACCTCGTGATCCTCTGCCTCCCAAAGTGCTGGGATTCCAGGTTGAGCCACCGCGCCTGGCCAGGATGGCTATTATGAAAAAGTAAAACACCAAAACAAAACAAAACAGATGCTGGCGAGGTTGCGGAGAAAAAGGAACACTTATACACTGTTGGTGGGAGGGTAAATTAGTTAAACCATTGTGGAGGACAGTGCAGCAATTTCTCAAAGACCAAAACCAGAAATATCATTTGACCCAGCAATCCCATTACAGGATATATACCCAAAGGACTATAAATCATTCTGTTATAAAGACACATCACAGCACTGTTCACAACAGGAAAGATATGATTCAACCTAAATGCCCATCAATGGTAGACTGGATAAAGAAATTGTGGTACATATACACCATGGAATACTATGCAGCCATAAAAAATGAGATCACATTCTTTGTAAGGACATGGACAGAGCTGAAGGCCATTATCCTCAGCAAATGAACTCAGGAACAGAAAACCAGATACCACGTGTTCTCACTTATAAGTGGGAGCTAAATGGTGAGAACACATGGACACATAGAGGGGAACAACACACACTGGGGCCTTTCAGAGAGGGGAAGGTGGGAGGAGGGAGAGGATCAGGAGAAAGAACTAATGGGTATCAGGCTTAAGACCTGGGCGACTAAATAATCTGTCCAACCCCCATGACGCAAGTGTACCCATGTAACAAACCTGCACATGTACCCCTGAACTTAAAAGTTAAATTTAAGGCTGGGCATGGTGGCTCATGCCTGTAATTCTAGCACTTTGGGAGGCGAACATGGTCTCTACTAAAATCACCTGAGGTCAAGACCAGCCTGTCCAAGACGGCAAAACCCCATCCCTACTAAAAACACAAAAAGTAGCCAGGTATGGTGGCGGGCACCTGTAATCCCAGCTACTTGGGAGGCTGAGGCAGGAGAATCGCTTGAACCCAGGAAGTAGAGGTTGCAGTGAGCTGAGATTGTGCCATTGCAATCCATCCTGGGTGACAGAACAAGATTTGGTCTCAAAAAAAAAGTTAAATTTAAAAACAAAAAATGAGCCTGAAGTCAGGAGTTCAAGACCAGCCTGCCCAACATGACAAAGCCCCGTCCCTACTAAAAACACAAAAATTAGCCAGGTATGGTGTCAGGCACCTGTAATCCCAGCTACTCAGGAGGCTGAAGCACGAGAATCACTTGAACCCGGGAGGTAAATGTTGCAGTGAGTTGAGATTGCACCACTGCACTCCAGCCTGGGCAACGGAGTGTCTCTAAATAAAGAAATAAAGTTAATTTTTATTGGCTTGCTGAGACAGAGGTTCTGTCTATAGCCAAACCCCACTCAGGCTCCCTCAGCTCTTTTCCAATGAGGCCTTGGACTTCGTGTTCACCTCTGCATCGTCCAGTTTCAGCTAGAATCCTGCTAAGTCAGCTTAGCCAGTCCCCCATCCTCCGCATCTGATCCCTCCCCATCCCTGATGCAGGTCCTCATCCTCCACCCTCCCCCACGTGCTGTCTGACCACCTCAGCCTGCCTTCAGCAAGAATCCTGTTAGGTTAGTCTTGTCAGAATCCCCCAGCCCCCAATGCTTCCTCGCGGTATGTTCCATCCACCGCCCCCCACTCTGCTCGTTGGCTATAACCCCAATGCTGTACTCAGAGTTTAGCCCAGTTCTAATCTAAGGTCTCTCCTCCCCTACAGCAATAGTCTGGAGTACAATATGTTTTTGCTGTTTTAACGATTGTCTAGTTCTGGTTCTTTTTTTTTTTTTTCCCTAGATGGAGTCTTGCTCTGTCGCCAGGCTGGAGTGCAGTGGCGCAATCTCAGCTCACTGCAACCTCCACCTCCCAGGTTCAAGTGATTCTCCTGCCTCAGCCTCCCGAGTAGCTGGGATTACAGGTGCGCACCACTAGCTAATTTTCATATTTTTAGTAGAGACAGGGTTTCACCATGTTGGCCAGGATGTCTCGATTTCCTGACCCCGTGATCTTCCCAAAGTGCTGAGATCACAGGTGTGAGCCACCGCGCCCAGCCTAGTTCTGGTTTTCTTCGATCACTCT